TCTTTGGAAATTAGGACTGATGCCATTTTAAAAAGACTGCTTGTCATCATTAGAGATCATTTAGCTGGAAGATGATGCCACAGATTCCAGTTGTCACGCCAGATGTTTTATACCAATGCTGAAAGATTGATTTTTATGCTATGATATTAAGAGGATATATATGATATATATATATAAAGCACCATTTCAGTTATCTTGCTATGACCAGTGACCTTGAAACGTGACCAGTGTTGACTCAAGATTAAACCAAGATCACTTGTATTTACAAGTATAAGATGACTACCAAAAATTACCATTATCTGGCATGGTCATAAATGAAGGATCTGTCGGTGATCAAAACTCAATGAAGTTCCGTAAAATCTCATATCACCCCAGGCATTCTATGAGCTGAATGAAAAGAATGTCACTGGTTCAAGACCCAGTGGTTTGCCAACAAATTGTTCCCTGCTCTAAAGACAACACTCAGCTATTACATTGCACAATATCAAGTAACACTACAAACCATGCTATCACGGAGCAGTATTATTAACAGTACTAGTCTTACCAATGTTTGGTAACATCAATGTCTAGCCCAAGCACAAAAACAGCTTTTGGGAAAAATGGAATAAAAAAAATTTCATTCTGATTAGGATATATCAAACAGCAGAGACATACCCCTGAATCGGATAAGGTCTAACAGTTTTCTTTAAAAAAATACAAATGAGAAATTAATTAACAGAATCTCATCCTAAGTTGAACAATTGATAAATATTTGTCTTCTTCACAAAAATCAATAATATTGATGAAAACTCAACTATTTGAACTTGGATTACTTACTTCCAAATTACTGACACATATGTAACCATTAATTGTTAAACCAATAGTACATTATACAATAGTTAACTAGACATGTGAGTTATTGAGTGGGAGGGTGAATGAGTGAGTGAGTGAGTGGGTGAGTTAGTGAGTGAGTGAGTGACCTCAGCACAAGTTACTTGTCCCAGGCTAACAGACAAGAGTGTATTTCAAAGGATGTAAACAGAATGTTTCACACAAGATTATTTGAACAAGAAAGAAGAAATGGCCTGGTCTTTGCAGTTGTGAAACAAATTAAAAATGACAAACAACAGAGGTTGATTTTCAAGTGAAACACTGAACAAAAATCATAAATCCTCACAGGATTAAATACGTGTATCCCAATCTATGAAAGTACCCTACTTGACAGCATAGCATCATAAAAACGTTCTACTGCTGCAATTGGTACTCAATAATGCATCAAAAAATGTCCCTCAAATTTGCACTCTAATCTACACAAGTACAAAAGAATGTATATGCTTGCCTTAATTAATATCCAATTCAGAAACTGCATAATCCAATTAATCATAAACAGATGATAGACAATTCAATAATGTTATGGATCATTTGGGAATCTCTGAGGAAATTAGCTGCCACTCACCGATATAGAATTGATTTCCCTCAGGATAATTACCGTATATGGATATAGTACAGTATATGCATATTGAATTCTACATTTCACATTGTTTTTATGCAGTAGTGTTGGGAATTGGTTGAAATCTCACAATTGATGATTGCTTCATTACCTACCAACAATCATCGAAAAAAATTGGTTATCGTCATTTTTCAGAGTTTCCTGTCCTGGTTGTTATTGCAGATAGGTATAAGATGATGCAACTTGCTACTTTAAAGTGCTGAGTAATATATCATGAACATAAACTTCCCGGAGTCTTCAAGAAATATTCAGTCATGACTTTTCAGTTAGTGAAGTGAGTTTTCTAAGAATTAAACAAGCTTGCAAGCCCCGACAATTTCGAAGATATGTTCCATCGTCAAGTGTTTCAAAGACTAAAACAGCAGTTCCAAAATCGTTTGTGTTCGATTATGAGAAAATGTGATCGATTGCTTGGTCGTTTGGTCACTGCGACCAATCTTCGATTATTTCAATTAATTGGAACACCACTATTATGCAGTAGTGTTTTTCATTTTAACTATGAGATCCATTGTTACAGATTTCATACATTTTGGCAAACTAGTGCCACAGTGATATAGCTCACCTGAAATGGGCGGGAGAGGGAGACATATTTAACATTGTGCTGTTAGTATTTTTAATCATGTTATGTCAGTTTAATGGCAGAGGAATTCCAAACAAATTGTTGCTCTCACCTCGTTATGAATATTCTGCATTGACAGATCATAATTTTAGCAATTCAAAAACACTTGTGAGGTATTCAAACACTTTCACAGCTAGTGCAATGGTCAGTCCAATCTAACTGATGACTAGGTTGGGATGCAACAATTCAAGAAGCACACATATAATCTCCCCACAACTACTGACATTTGGGCCTTGAGGTCAACATTTGAAACTCAAAGTTCAATTATATTCAATCATTTTTCACTTATGTACCCTCAGAATGAACACTGCTCAACCAAATCTGTTCCGATTCTGACCGATTTTAACAAAAACTTAAAAAAGAATTTATACACTTGAAAAATAAGTAGTTACAATTATATAAATTGGTACAAACAAGTTACAAATGTAACAGTTAGCAGCACTCCACCCATATCTTGGTGGAGGCCACAAACTGCATCATCAGTGATGTGAATCAACCCTGAATCCTTCATGAACACTTTGACCACATGGCTGTTTCGTTACTCCAGCACAGATTATTTATATCATATCGCATCATGTAACACATGTTATATTTGGGATTACACTTTCTTAGTAAAGTACAAATTCTAGTACTTTTTTTAGTTGAGCCCCATCCGGGATTTGAACTCACACCCTCAGAGTCAGGCACCTACTCACCAGCACACAAAGTCAGCCGCCTAGCCCGCTCAGCTACCACGACTTCCACGCATCATGTCAGCATAATATGTGGGAGAGACTAACCTACACCTAGAAATACTAATTTGCTTGTGTTTGAACAATATAACAATCTTATTTTGTTTACCTTATCTGAGTACAGTTGATCCATACACATCTAAGGGACATAACTCTGAAGGGATATTCACAGTACCTACAACAAACATTAAATCCATACCCCACACAGAACTATGTCAGCTAGACTTTAAATAAAATCAAGTCTGGACCTGACGATCCAGTGATCCAACATTATGAGTAATGATTGGGATACGATCATGTCAGCAAGCCTGACCACCCAGTCTTGTTAGTCGACTAATTCCAACCCTCATCCTTGGTGATAGGCAAAAATGCTGAAAATGTGCACTGTTAATACCAAGACTATCTACCACACTAATTTGATACCAATAGGTTCAGGGAAGGAACCAAACGAACATAAATCTGCACGAGACACACTCCATTAACTAATCATCTCCGAGGACTGAAGCAAAGTAAATAACCAAGTTGTCAACTACTCACACGAGCAGTACCCAGGATATCTTATTTTCTTTTACTTATTTTCCCCACATGCTAACATAAACAGCTTGAAGAGCATCTATTGCATGTGTTTGATCAAACCTGGGACAATATATCAGTGTCTTATTAATGTGTTGTTGTGGTGCATTAGATGCTTAACTAGATAATGTATTCCACATCACTACTTCTGTTTTCACTAACAGCTAGAGTACTCTGCCAGCAGGTTGCCAGTGTACTGACAATTTGTATATCAGCAGCAAAAATATCTTGGCACCGTTCTGAGATTCGGATGTCATGTGTTTGCTTCATCAACATGTGGTTGTTTGGGAAAGATTCACCTCCACAACAATATAGGGAGAGAAGTCTTGGCAATGATTTACACACCAGAGGCTGCAGTGAATGCACTCTCATAAAACAGCTTTGTGGTAAATGATGATCTATTTATGAATGAGTATATTGATGAATGAAAAATTTAATGCATGAATGGGTGATGTTTGAATTAGTTCCTGAATGAATGAATGAATGAATGAATGAATGAATGAACAGACAGATGGTTGAGCAAATGGATGAAGATATCTGAAAATATACATCTTGTAAGGAACCAAATGTGTCCATTAAATATCGAAGAGGAGCCTCAATTAGCTGAACCTGAGGAAAATTTTGACTTGCTTCATTTAGGGCTGTGCATTGTAGTAGTGTTCCAATTGAAATAATCGAAGATTGGTCGCAGTGGCCAAACGACCAAGCAATCGATCACATTTTTCATAATCGAACACAAACGATTTTCTAACCGCTGTAATAGAGTTTGAAATACTTGATGATAGAACATATCTAGGACATTGTCAGGGCCTGAAAACGTGTTTATTTTTTAAGAAAACTCACTTCACTTTCTGAAAAGTCATGACTGAATATATCTTGAAGAATCTGGGAAGTTTATGTTACACTGGAACTGAATCATTTTACACTGGATGTGAAATTTGCAAATGTAATTTGTGCAGTTTCAAAAAACAACAACAGAGAACCAAATGTTTTTTCTTTATACTTATCTGCAACTACAACCTGAATAGGAAAATCTAAAAAACCATGCGAACCAATTTTGTTCGATGATTGGTCGTTGGTATTGAACCTATCATCAATTTTGTACAAAGGATTGGGTGGAAGGGACTATAATGTGATTCAGGGACTGTGAGATGAACTACTAACACAAGAATCAAACCAGCTACCATGAGACAGACAGCCAGTCAAATAACGGAGGTATTGAAGGTGAGATGAGGTGAGGTGAGGTGAAAGGAGATTGAGGTCACTTCAAGATCATTCCACTTGTGTTCTGACAAGCATACAGGTGTAAGTGGTTGCTTGTACTAGTGCTAGTCTTACAGTGCCAGCATATAGATACCATGCCACGCTTTTATCATGGATACCCCATTCTGACACAGTATACCAACTCTGAGCCATCCAGTCCTTGTTTTGTCTTGTTGATGCCAGTCAGAATAACAAGTACCACCTTTCAGCATCCTTCAGTCTGATGAAAATTGGAATCGAACTGAATGTTTTCTGGGTAATCACACTATATATCCACTAAGCCGCAAAGCCAGATCAAGGAATTCTGACATCAATGTGGTAGGGATGCCACAATACATCGATACTTTTCTAACAATTATCGATACATTCAAAATTGTACCGATATTTAGTTTTGAAAGAATCGGTTTAAACATGTTTATGTATCATTTACAATTTGCAATTGTATCATGTCTTTTTATGTTATGTGAGTTATAAATGATTACTTTTAATGTGGGGCGGTAGGGTAGCCTGATGGTTAAAGCGTTAGCTCGTCACGCCGAAGACCCGGGTTCAATTCCCCACATGGGTACAATGTGTGAAGCTCATTTCTGGTGTCCCCCGCCGTAATATTGCTGGAATATTGCTAAAAGCGGTGTAAAACCAAACTCACTCACTCACTCACTATTTTTCATGCACTTTTTAATCTCTGAGAATAAAAAATGTTGATCTTTTCATGGACAATTATAATCTATGTAATATTTATGTTCAAAATGTAACTAAATTTACACAATAATGCCGCGAAAATAGGTATACGTATCGAATCGTGAGATGGGTATCGTGATACGTATCGATTCATGAAACTTCCTGTGACATTCATGTGACTTCCCTACAATGTGGCCTGTACGGCAGTCCTTGTCACCCCCTGAGCCATAGCTTAACCACTTTAACAACATGCTGGCATACTTGGTATCATTCTTCTCAGAAATCCCCATGACAACATCTTCACTTATCCAGGAATTGATTCTCCTCATATGGTGATAGTTACAATGGTGTCAAATGAATGCATATCCATAATTAAAGTCCTACTGGAATCAAATCCAGCTTTAGATCTAGATCTAAAAACACAACTTTTAGAATTTAAAGCACCGCCAACCTCTCATTCTGCAGTGAGGTAGTATGGTTTTGGGTCAGCTTTTAGCAATATTCCAGCAATAACCTGACAGGGGACACCAGAAAAGCGCTTCACACATTGTACCCGTAGTATTGGAATTGAACAGGTCTTTGGCATGACCGATTTTAACAAAAACTTAAAAAGAATTTATACACTTGAAAAATAAGTAGTTACAATTATATAGAATTGGAACAAACAAGTTCACAAATGTAACAGTTAGCAGCACTCCACCCATATCTTGGTGGAGCCCGCAACTGCATCATCAGTGATGTGGAATCAACCACTGGATCTTCATGAACACTTTGACCACATGGCTGTTTTAGATTGCTCAACTGGAATTATTTATATCATAATAGCATCATGTAACGCATGTTATATTTGGGATACACTTTCTTAGTAAGTACAAATTCTAGTACTTTTTGGTTGGGTGTGGAATTGAACCCAGGTCTTTGGAGTGATGAGCCTACTTACCAACCACAAGGCTAGCCCTACCACCCCTCATTCATAATATGTGGGAGAGACTAAACTACAAAATACATGTGATTGGTTGTTGATCTCATTAACAGATGCCTTCAATTGTGCTATGTTATTGATAAAAGATGATTTTTTCATGCGGTGATTGGGGTAGCCCTAATGGTTAAGCGTTAGCTCACCGTCACGCCGAAGACCGGGTACATAAATTGTAGAGATAAACGAGAAAAACAGTTTTTTTCTATTTCCGACAGTCACACTAATAGATATAATGATGCATTCTTAGGTCTGAAGTCGTTTTCATACAAACAGCATAATTTGCGCTGACTTGCTTTTCCTGTTTGTAAATAATGTCACAACTTGGGCGACTCATCCTTGGAATGTGCGAATGGCGGAATTGTGCGTTTTGCTTATTTTTTCGTAATTTATCTCTCCCCAATCAATAAACGCGTGTCACTGTGTGTCAGGAGTGAACTAGACGTGTCGAAGGAAAGAAGTTCCGTTAACACTCACCAACAAGTAATCACCGCTAGATGGCACCCACAGTCATGTGATAACCTGTCCAGAGAAACTTTGTTAACTTCCGGTTAAAGAAGCACTTAGAAACTGTACTGTAGGGATAGTTATTCGGGGGATGCTTGAGGCTGCCAACGCCCCTTTGGCTCGCGGGATTCTGGGGATATGTTCAGAACGTATTTCAGACACAGAAAAGTCTGTCTCACAGTCCACATTATTTTCCCTGCTGCCTAGCCCTTCCTGCAATGCTAAAGCTCTAAATGAAGCAAGTCTAGATTCCCACAGGTTCTGAACATCTTACTGGAGCTCCTTTTAAATATAAATAAGTTTATTTGTTACTATAAAATATATATTATATTCTGAGACTAAGCGTTAGTCTAAGACTTGGAAGTGTGGACGCAGATGAAATCGTATTTGGTTCACTGATTTACTATATTTTTTAAATGGTGTAGACTATCGCACTCATTTATGACCTAAGAATGGAACGTGATCTATTTTCGTAAAAAATAGATATTCAGCCTTTGTAGAGCGAATTCGGAAGTATGCTTATATGAAATGAATGTAAGATACATTTACCTTTATGGAAAGTATTTTGGATTCAGGGGTGAGCAAATGAGACCCAGAGTGATACTTTTAAATATACATGTACAGACATTGTTGCGTAACGGCTAAAGATCAAAGGTCATGTATACAATGCCCAATGCACATCGAAATTCTTTTTCTTTTATTGCATTTCCTCGACAAGTGTCATATGAAAGTATAGTTGATTCCCAGATCAAGTTTCAAAATTCTAGGCTACGTTTCATCAGAGTGTCTGTCTTTGATTGGTATCACTGGTTCCATATAGCGTTCTTATGGGCCATTCGATATTCTGGGATTTTGATTTCAAAAATAAATTCAAATAAAATTATGCTTCAAGCTAAAAATGTATACCACAAAAATATTTCGGTTCTTAGTACATCTGGTTTTGCAGTCGTAGCAGGAACATAACATGATCGGCCACCGACTCCCATATTTTAACGTAACCATGCAACCTCATCTACAGGGAATGATCACTAAGAGTGAATATTGTAATATGCCGCATCCGTTTGTGGAGGAGACCCATATTCCCAATGCATAACCGACATCTGGCAATCATTGTATATCAGTAATAGTTGCAGTTCGTTCCGTACCATAAAACAATGGAAGAAGTCTTTAATGTTGGCGCCAAAGGATTGTGCTATATAAGATGCACGACTGCGTCTAGGTAAACACAGTCTCGGTACTGTATACTGAGCAGTTTTAGTCTTGTACTGACGCTGATAATGGGGGCGGTGGGAAGCTTAGTGGTTAAAGCGTTAGCTCGTCGCGCCGAAGACCCGGGTTCGATTCCCCGCATGGCTACAATGTGTCAAGCCCATTTCTGGTGCCCCCCGCCGTGATATTGCTGGAATATTGCTAAAATATTATTCTGTAAAACGATACTCATTACCTCATTACTCTGGTGATGGTCAAGGTATGATGCCATTCGTTACCAACTCGTGTTATTCCAGGACAAGACGTTACGGCAGGGGTTCAAAAATCCCATCGCCCGACGCCCGGGACAAGTCAGTTTTCATTTCGGGCAATCAAATAATGGTATCTTACTTGTCCGTGGGCTACTAGATAATTTCCACTTTTGGTTTCAAACTGCAAATAAACTTTGACTTAATTTCATATCTGCTCAAAATGTAGCTATTAAATTTCGCAATGATAATAAAGTAGAGTTATCTTTCTTTGCTATTTATTACTTTTCAATAAATAGTCCAGTAAACATTAACATCAAATACCATGTTGATTTCTTCTTTCATAATCACATCATCATAATTATGTCATAAAATCAGGGCAAGTGGAAAATTAGTCAGGACAAGTTACTTTCTTAAAGTCACTTGCCCTGTGGCAAGTGGCTTTTTAAAAAAAAATTGAACCCCTGTACGGCGAGTGGTGACGAATGGGTATGATGCAGGTAAACCACAGCCATGACGTCATCGACATCAGAGACTTGCTTCACAAAGCGGGTGAACCGCGCGGACAATCCCAATCCCTGTAACATAGAGTTACAACAATCGTTGTGTTTCTTTGTGAAACAGGGATCATGGTCTTTTGCAGGATATGGTTAGTTAGTGAGTTGGTTTTAACGACGCTTTTAGAGCTGTTCCAACAATACTACGGCGCCGTGTCCACTACAAACTGGCTTCATACATTTTACACAAGTTGGGAATCGAAACAGGGACTTTGGCGTTACGAGCGAACGCATTGACAACTGGGCTACCCAACGGGAGTAAAGGTGGTGGGGGATAGCCATGTGGGAAATGCAATGAATATCAGAGTTCCATTCTTAACGAATGTGTGAAGACCTGGGGCCCGTTCCTCAAAGCGATCGTAGCGCTACGACAGTCGTAAGTCTATGCAATATGGGAGTTACGATCATCTTAGCGCTACGATCGTTGTGAGAATGGCGCCCAGGAAACGCACGTCCTACGCGGGAATTCACTGTGCAGTGTTATGATCTTTATGCTTGCCAGAATGCAAAGGATCGTGTGTTCGAATCCCACTTCGCCCTGGTCATGTTTTCAGTATTGCCAGCGCCAGACCCCTGCTCTCAAATGTGGCAATAGATGTACATTTCTGACATGGCATCACTTAGGGTAGCCTTACTCCAAGGCTGTACTGAATGCTAAGCCCAAGGATGTATAAAAAACGGGGCGGTGGGGTAGCCTAGTGGTTAAAGCGTTGGCTCGTCACGCCGAAGACCCGGGTTCGATTCCCCACATGGGCACAATGTGTTAAGCCCATTTCTGGTGTCCCCCGCCGTGATATTGCTGGAATATTGCTAAAAGCGGCGTAAAACTAAACTCAGTCAGTCAGTCAGTATAAAAACGCTATCCTTTAAAGAGGCAAGTCTAGAAAAGCGGAAGGCCGTCAGTCGTATTTATATTTTTTAGAAATTATCATTTAAACTATTATTATTATTATGAGTGAGTGAGTTTATTTTACGCCGCACTGCAGCTAAATGGCGGCGATCTGTAAATAATTGAGTCTAGACCAGACAATCCAGTGATCAACATCATGAGCATCGATCTACGCATTTGGGAACCGATGACATGCATCTGTCAACCAAGTCATCGAGCCTGATTAAGTATTATGAAGCCGCCGCCATATACTGGAATATTGCTAAGTGCAAACTCAAATTACTTATCGACAGTCCGTGGAAAGGAACATGATGTTCTGCATGAGCGGGTTATCCGACTTTCATTTTTGTGGCAGCCGCGGTAGCTGAGTGGGTTAGGCAGCTGACTTTGGTGCCCAACTCTGAGGGTGTGGTTTCGAATCCCGGATGGGACTCAGCCTAACAAAAGTACTGTTCTGTGTACTTCACTGAGAAAGTGTCATCATAAATATAACATATGTTATATTAATTATTACCTTAGAGAGTGAGTAAGTGAGTTTAGTTTTACACCGCACTCAGCAATATTCCAGCTATGTGGCGGCGGTCTGTATGTAATCGAGTCTGGACCA